TCTGAACGTATGGTGTCCTCCCAGATGTGTCAACACCAGGCATTTGTGAATGGACTGTACACATAGAATGCCGCCCGCCACGTGCAATTCCGCATTCAAAAGCTGCCAACGCTAGCTTCTGCTAGCTTCACTTTCTCAAGCTGTTTGTTCCAAAGTTTGTCCTTTGGAAACTTGTCAACGTAGCATTGCAAAATCTTCTTGATCACACGAATGAGGGCTTCAGATTCACTCCGAAGTGTTCTTCCTCCCCAAGTCATGCTGAGCCCTTCGTGACAACCTGGAAAGTATCCCTGCCATGATCGGGATGTACTATGGTAAGAAATCAGAACTCCTGGCATGCACGGGAGCTCCGTGGGTCCGCGATCTGACAGTTTCTTGAATGCTTCACGGTGGAAGAATGACTTGACTCTGGTGTGCATGGTGGTCACTGTCTCTTTGACCATGTCTTCATCACTGGTGTCAGCCAGCACTTCTACACCTGTGTCTTCCTCCTGGAAACGGTCCATTTCCAGCAAGGCATCCTGCTCATCCTGGAAACCATCCACACCCTGTACGTCAGCTTGGTCCTCAATGTCAGCCTCATCCTCAGAGCCCTCCAGCTGTTCGATCTGCTTCATGGGGCTTCTGATCCAAAAAGACCGGTACACAGCCATTTTCGGAAGGAGCTCCTTTTATCAGAATCAGCCTTCGTGCGTCTCCGTTGGACGCCTTCAGCTGCAGTTCGTGAGGCTCCATGGAAAATGCCACATGCACTGAGAAGAGCTCCCGTTCCATCTTAGAGAGCTCCATGTTGCTGCGGATGGAATGGACCTGCGCTTGCTTTTTTCTGGAGAACAGCATGTTGCACGATGCACGCTCCCGGTTCCACTTGTCAAAGCCCTTTTGCATGGTCGGGGTCAAGTTCTTGCCCAGGATCATTCTAGCATCAATTTTCTGCATCCAAGAGTTGTGTTCGTCAACCCACTTGCTGATGCTCCGTTCGATTGGCTGGGCCATCCACGGTGGCAGGGCCTGTCGGGTATGGACATCATCTCCGGACTGAACAACCCATTGCGGCGGTTCTTCACCCTCAAGTGGCAAGCTCCTCAAACGCTGGAGGTCGGCAATTTCATTTGGATCTCCCTTCATCTCAGGGAGCTCGGCAAGTTCAAGAATGGAGTTCATGGAGTCCCTCACATGTTTCAGAAGCTGCTTCACCGCTTCTTCATCTCCTGTCACGGGAATCAGAGCAAATGGTCAATTGAAGAGAAGCATTCTAACCTGGCATTTCCATCTTCAAACTGTTCAAATCTATTGAAAAAACAACACGATCCTATTTCAATGCTTGACTAATGTGTGAAACCTGAAAACCTCCATTCTGCAATGTCACGCTCATTGACAAATCCTCTTGTCATCCAAGCTATCCATATCAGCTTGCCGGACCTTTCAACAGCACGAGCCAGGAGAGAAGACCCCCAACACAGAGTTAGAATGCCATTCCAAAGATATGACCCAGAAATGAAGGCACACATGCAGAGTTGGAATGCTTGGCCCAACGACCAAAAATTGCATAAGTTATATATATATATATACAAATTATATATATATATATATTTATACATTTCAGACAGGAAAGAACCGCAGAAAGAAAATACATTATACATTTGTACATCTACATGTGTATTATGTGAGTAAATATATGCAAATACACACATAGAATGCAAAAGAAACGACAAACATACATCCAGGCACTGGAAGTTTTGCAAAGCTTCCAATGCATAAGCGTCAGCTTTCAATGCTGTCAATGCTGTAGTCCTTGACGCGGTGTGTCACAGAGGCACACCACATGGCATTTGTTCACAGCTGAATTGTCCCTTCAGTAAAAATAGAAAAATGTTCCGAAACATATTCACTATGTGTACAAAGAACATTTGTACAGTTCAGTATCATGTAACATGTATATATATATGTAATTTTGATCAACCCAGACCTGGTTGCAACCGATCCCTGTGTGGACAAGTGCAATTCGTCCATTCGCTTGCGAAGACCGGGTGAAGATCCCCAACATACAGCCAAGCGGTGGTATGCTCCACAAAGCTGATGCCAGTACTGGTGGAACCCATCATTGGGTCCACCTGCCGCTCCCCACCCTCCTGGAATTTGCACTTCTTCACTATCCCCTGTGACGATGTCCTCACACCAAGTATGCCAGCAGCAACGTGGTCCACAAATTTGTTCAGTACAAAATGCCAAACAATTGTATATATATATACACATCACATTGATGTTGACACCGTAACTCCACAAAGAACGCAACAAACTGGGAACAAACATGATTGCTGAATGTATAAAAGTTTCTGCGTTGTGCTGCAGCATCCACTGTTCTTTGAGATGGCGGTACTTCTTGGAGCTGTGTTGAGATGCAAAGTCGCAGATCAGGAGGGCTTTGTGGGATCGATCCAGGTTTAGCTGCCTCCTGCGAGCTCTCAACTCCCCGGCCATGTGCTCCAAAAAACTCATCATAGTCTCGCTTGCCCAAATATGTGAACGCGGCTGGAGCGGACCGACGACCAACCATGGAGACAGTTCCTGCGCAGAATCGGGGGTGTCCGAAGGTTCTTGTTTGAAGGAGGCATAGGCCTAACAAAAGTCAGTCAACCCGCCAATTAACTAGATACAAATTCCATCCGGCTGGCAATGTATTCAAAAGATCCATGAACCCTTCAATTGATCCATGAACCTTGCAAAACAGTGCTTGAGTCCGACACGATGTGCAGGATGTACAGTTAGAATGTATTCCACCCGGTGCCTGGTTGGCTTGGCACCGTTGGGATTCGGAGAGGCAGTCTGCTCTGCAGGTTATGAAGGCCCGGCTGAGGCTTCCGTCAGCCCAGCTCACCGTTGTGACAGTGTGAGGTAGCCGCCAACCCTCCACACCTGCCATTGCTGCCTCGCCGCCTTGTACTCGAGCACAACGTGAAGCATCTTCCATGCTGTCACCGTCCAGGCTTTCTGTGAATGGACGGTCCAGAACTCTTTCAATGATGTGCCTGATGCGGCGCATTGATTGACTGCGGGCATGTTCATCCACCTTGGCTCTTTGCTGCAATGTTCGAGCCAATGGGCGAAACTGCAAGCTCCAAACTTGGTCGAAGTTGGCAATGAGCCTGCCGTGGTAGCGGCCACTGGCAATCTGATGTTGGATCCAACTTCTTACCTTGACCATTTGAGGACGCATAAATGGCAAACGCCGCCCAGGCTTACTGTTGGATGTTGGCAACAGTCCACTTTTCCGGCATATTCTTTGCGCATGCTTCCTGCAGAGGGTTGCAGGTGAAATCGGAGCCACATTCTAAGTGTATGTATGCCTCTATATATATATACATGTACAGTATGTATGTTGTTTTTCCATGGTTTATGTCAATGCTGGGCCCATGCACTGAAGCATAATCCAATAGTTCCACAGCTACAAACACAGGCAGGAAACACCAAGAAAAACCCTTTCATCCTTGAGTGTAAGTGATATATATATATATGCGGAAATGCCAGAAGAAAAGAACACCTGCACTATGCAAATCAGAGATTCAGGAGAGAACCGTCAGTTGCCTTGACTTTGACGAATGGCACATCCTTGCAAAGTTGCTCATAGATCTTTGTCAAAGTCTGCTCCGATACCTCCTCAGACCTCTCCTCGGCACTGGATTCCATGGTGCGTTCCACCTCCCTCAAAAGCACCCCCGGCTCGCTGAGTTGCTCCCGCGCTTGTTGCACAGCGTGGTTCCATTGATCTATGGCCATTATCAAGGCATTCTTTGCAAAGGTGTGGGTGACCTCTTCGCCAGTGGAAATCCGATCAACCTGACTGAAATCACAGCTGTAAATACACATAGAATGCATGAACTTTTGAAAGGCGTCCAGCCCATTATTGAAACAAATATGTTTATGTATATATATAATATATAAAGTATTATATATATATAGGATCAAGGAAAGAATGAGACAGAACAGGAGTTTTCTGGATGTCCCTCCATTATGTACCAAAAGTGCGGTTGAGGCGCGACGACATGTGAGACTGCCTCTGTCAATGCAGATGGCAATGTAGCCGTAGACTCGCCATCATCTGAAGACCTTCCCCTGAATTTCAGCTTCAGCCCGACAAGGTTTCTCAGGGAATCAGGCAATTCTTTGTACTGCCGCGCAAGTTTGGGTGCACAGGCGCACACCAAAGTCCATTGTTGGGCTTGACGTGCATGCTTCCATTTGTACATGCAACACCTGTAAAACCCGGGAAGGTTCAACTGGGCCACATGCTTGCACGGTAGCGTGATTCCGTCTGACTTGGCCTTGTCGTAAGCCACCATCCTGAGTAGAGAATATAGAAAAAGGAACATGGATTACTTTCAGCAAACAAGCAGTTAGAATGCTGCGCAGGTGTGCTGTTGGTGGTTTATGTAAAGATTTTCCGTGCTTCATTCATCAAAGGATGTTACACATGGAGAGTATATGAACTATATTGAACGGTATTTACAACTGTGCATTCTTATAGAATGCGGTGCGTGTGTTCTATTTGTGCTTCTGCCGGTGCTTCATTCAACCAAGGACGTTACACTTGTTCCTTGTCCCAGATTGTGGCCTCGTCACGTTTGCCCTTGGAATACTTTCTGCTGTCAACATTCTTCTTCTTGCGCTTGTATATCTGTCTCTTGGACTTCTTCTTTGGACCTGACTGCTTCTGTCTGCTGGACTTTTTCCGTGGCTTCACCAAGCTGCCCTTTGCAGAGTCATACTCAGGTGCTGGCCGCTTGGATCTCACCCTTCTCCTGACTCCAAATGCTTGACACAATGCAGGTTCCATAGCAGTGTCTCCACTCCCGGTTCCTGGCAAAGTGCTCCATGCATCTGGCGCTGAAGCCAATGAAGCAATGAAGACGGCCTGGAAAACGGTGCTCGAGAAGGCATTCCCGACAATATCCTGTGCTAGCTCTGGGTTGCTCAGGAGATGCTGGTACGTGCTGGGGCTGAAACATGACTTCCAGAAACCCTGGGCATTGAGCAGGTCCGTGGTAGAGAGGTAGCGACCAAGTTCTGTGCTGTAGATTGCATGTGTTGGGGTGATGCAAGGCACCGCATATGCCGCATGCGTGGGACGTCGCAGAGATGAAGCGCAGTCTATGAGCACATTTGTGATGCCTATGTTTGCAGCCTTTGCCATGTCAACCAACTTTTTCTCCCGGTCATTCTTTGGGCTGACCTTTGGCAGATCTTTTTCCCATAGAACCTCTGATGGAAATATCCAGTTAGAATGCATCTCTCTCAAGCATTCCTCAAAAGCGGTAGAGACCTCCTCAAAGCGGGCGCCACTCATCAAAGATGCACAGCCAAATACTCTGTTTCTCCGTTGTGGCAACGTGAAATTCTGTGAGTCCAACACTTGCCAGACCTAGGGCCAAGAAATCAGTTCCAGAAGAGAAAGAGCACAACAAAAAAATGGAGAATTCCCACATCAATTAAAGACAGAGAAAACAATCCCAAGGGATTCCGAAAGTTATTCTTGTTTAATTCTTGGACAGTGCTTTGTGTGGTGGATCTCATAAACCCAGGGTGACTGCGCGCAAATTGGCACTTAGAATGTCTGGCCTAGAAAGCGAGGGGCTGATTCTTTTTCTTGCAACCTAGACACGAAGTGGTATCCCAGATCCTGCATATGACGTGCCACGACCTGCATCCTCAGGGCAGCCAACTATATATATATATACACATATTATCAGGGCAGCCAACTATATACATATTAAATATACATCCATACATATATATATATATACATACATTGAGACAAATGTGTATAATATATATATGTTTAGGTATTGTTCAATTAGGTATTAGATATATTATATATATACATATGTATTATATATGTACATATGAGCATGATGTAATGCATTTATTCACTGTTTGGTTTTTGTGGAACATACAGACATCAGTTTGATAATAGGAAAAGTCACCACTCCTCTCCAGTGTCCAAAATCGCTCACACATTAAATTATCAACCACAATCGCCACTGCCACACAGCAGCTGCCCCCACCTCTATGGGTTTATCCAAAGCCTTGCCAGTAGCATCCTTGCTTCTCTCGCAAGCGGCTCTGACACTCTCAAAGAAGGCAACGCTAGGAGTCAGAGTTTGGATGACCTCAGAAAAATGCCACAAATAAGGTGCCCAATCGCACATAGAATGCTCTGAATTTCACATAATCAGCGTTGAACTCTCTATCCAGACTATATATATATATAGTCAGAGTTTGGATGACCTCAGAAAAATGCAACAAATAAGGTGCCCAATCGCACATAGAATGCTCTGAATTTCATATAATCAGCATTGAACTCTGTATCCAGACTATATATATATATAGCGAATCTGACCAAAGGAAGTTGGGAAGAGGATCAAAGTCAAGTATGCTCGGAAATGCTATACATTACATACATACATATATATATATATAAGTGAAAACCTGTCCTCAATACACAGATTTAAAGCAATCCAGCCTTCCGGAAGCCGTAGAGGTATGTTGGTCCGCTGCTGCCAGACTGCTCATCTGATTCGGTTCTTTCAAAGCAACCGACAGAATCTCGCCGATTGTTGTTCAGTCTGGACAAGTCTTTGCAGGACGTACCTGCCACCAAAACGTCATGGCCACAGTTGGAGGCTTCAATCTTGTGGTCCGTTTGGCAAACGTGGCAGAAACCGTACATCTTCTGAAAGACGGACACGTCGGCGAACATGTGGCGTGGACGGTGTTCTGCCAATATCAGATCCCGCTTCCGCTTGTCTATCTCGACGGAGAAGATGTGTTCAATCTCCAGGGGGGCATCGTCCTGCAGAAGGTCTATACGCTCACATTCATATATATATATCACTTGGAAACGTGTTGTAAATTGAATTTGCCAAAAGCAAATAAACTATACTCCCTGGACCGCAGGTACTTACCAACTTCAACAAGTAATAAAGTAATTTTGTGAATATTTTTTTGCAATATCATCATCCTCTCCTCTCTCTATAAACACTATATACATATATTATATATATACTATATATCAACATAATGCACAAATTTGATTTGTTGAACACATTCTAACCCGATAAATCACATAAATCAGGCCTGGAGAAGGGGACACAAAGCAGAGAGAGTCTTCTTCAAGACGGTGATACAAATGTCTGAGCCACTGCAAGTGCTTGCCACTCGAATTGGCTTTCCACTCAGCCTTTTCAATTGGGAAAGGATGGCATGTTGTTGCTCAACAGTACAGCGACTCAGAAAGAATGCACCTGTCTCACACAGGTCTAGGTCTTGTGGGACATCCAGCATCTTCCCATGACAGAGAGATGAGAATGGAAGGGAAAAAGTACGGTTTCTGAAAGACGTGGGCATCCACGAGATTGGGCTTTCCTCATCATAAGTGTCGACACCTGAAAAGCTCCAAAGCCAAGTGGCTTTATTGGACTTCATCAATCGAAGCTGAGATTGTGGATAGACTTGCTTGCCCTCTGCCATCAACTTGTCATCGTCCAATTGAGTGCGCTCTTTGATAGTGAGAGCACCCACTGCTGCAAATCCGTGCTTTCTTCGGACAAGGGCAACGAAATGCTCAAGATGTGACTGGAATGGCCTGAGCAGCATTGCTTCACCGCGCATGAGTGCGGTCCACTCAAAATCCTGCAGAATGATGCACTCAACAGATTCAGGCTGTTCATCTACTTGAGCCACTTCCCCTGCCGTCTCTGATGCGCCATCCTGCGGGTCTTCAAGGTCTTCAACCCCGAGCTTCTGTCGTTTTTGTAGAGGAGTGATGCTAAACTCCAAGTCAGTTGAAGAAGCCCCAAAGTCCTTTCTCTTGGGAGCCTGGATTGTAGTCTCACAGCTTGAAGAAGACTTGGACCTAAACGATGGCGAAAGGGAAGCCTCTGGGTAGCGGACATCTTCTGGGCTGAAATACATCCAGACTTCACATCCTTTAGAACCATTCATCAGATGTACACCGGGTGCAAATGTGTACACGAGCTCAAAATGCCACGCCCAGCAGAAGCCAGGATGCTTCGACCACTTGCTTTTCATTTTCTCACACTCTACAGTCTCCACGCGATGCAAAGGAAAATGCTTGGCAAATGCACTGTCCATGATTTTCACATTTCCGTGGAACTCAACCACAGCCAAGACCTGTCGAGGCCTCCCTGCTTGGCAACTCAGAATAGCCAAACGGTCTCCACCAGCCAGGAATCTGATGGGTCGGTTCCGCACTTCATAGACTTTTCGTAAATCTTCTGACTCGCGAATGAACTGTACCGCGTGTTCTTCTTTGATAAGAAGCCCCAAGAACTTGCCATCCTTTTGCTTCAACCCTTTGATATGATCTGCAGCTGTGGATGTCTTCTCATCTAGGTCCTGCACAACCATATATTCTACACATACACACGCGCCCGCGCGCATATTGGAAGCATGTTGCACAAAAGTTCTGCGCCAATGAGGTGTTGCCCTTGATCATGCGTTCTCATGTTTGCGCTCTGCTCTGTCTCTCTCTCTCTCTCTCCCTCTCTCTTGTGCTCCATATATACATATTTATATAAAGGTGCTTCACTCTCCTGTTGCAGGTTTGCTGGGATTGCTGGGGGACGCGGAAATCAGCCTCAACTATATGGAAAACTGACACCTGTCATTAGGTACCACCAGTCAGAAAATCATTTCCCAGAATCCTGATCAATGGTTGCCTCCCTGCATGAAAACTGGAACCTATTTTTCCTTAGCATTCTAAGTGCACAGGTGGCACAGGTCTCTCAAAATCAAGTTGAATCAGCGTGCAGAAGCAATCCTCCAACAATCCAGCTGCTGCCATCTCTGCAATGGTCTCAGGCGCACCATCTCCGTAGGGGTCGTATTCCACTACATCTGCAACCTACCGGTCAGTTTTAATGAATCTCGATAAATATTTATATATATATTTGGATTGATATGCAGATATGCAGCCAGCGCCTCCTCATCCAACTCGCTTAGCCCATATTGCAGGGCAACCGCTAAGGCATGATCAGAAAGGTCCTGTGGCAGGCGCTTCCATGTCTTTGAGGAGCAGGGCACGCTTGCAAAGAATTCTTCAAGTGAAACCAAAAGAATCCGTATTTGTCACCACAGACTCAAGAGCTCATAAAGAAGTATATATATATATATATAATGCGTGCTTTTTTCCATTGGGCACGGACACGCGCTCAACATTTTGCAAACCTCACAGCTTAGGTAGCCATAAGAGATCAAATTATGATGCTGATGCTATCTGGCAGACAGCAAGATTGATTTTTCGGTACACCTGTGTGAGTGC